ATAGCTTCATAGTTTCATTAGAATCAGTAATGGTATTCTATTCTCTTCACTACGGGTTCGGTAATGGGAGTGCACGGACATCTGGCAAGTGCAGAAAGTCCGTGATGAGGTCAGGGTGAGTGGGCGAAGCCTCACGACGCCGCCACTACCGTTTCGCCTGAACTGGTGCGAACTGGCAGCATATCACCTCTGATTAGAATGACAGCACTAAGAACTTTCTATCCAGACCCTTTCATGTTTTTAACCACTTTATAGATCAAATCTTCCACAAATGTAATGTGTTTAGTTCAATTTGAATAAAATAATCAGCGCAAACCATATGAGAAGCTCAATGTTGTTAAAATACATGTACATTTTAATAATTAACCATTCATTGAACGTGATTCAAATAACTTCAAAAGTGTCAACAGGTCAATTGAAACATTCAATAAGTTAGATGTAGTATATTTAATTTTTTTTGTGTGCTGATCCAATTATAATGGATATTTTTCAGTTTGCACAATTTAATACTGGTCAGGGTGGATGAATAGCTTCATATAGAAGAGTAATGGTTATGGTTTCTGGAACAACTTGTGATACTGTTATCCTCTAACCCCCATACCTTTTACCTTAAACTGTCTACCATGGATCTTATGCGTTTCTGAAAGGTCCCTAAGGGGGCATGCATAAGCGCACCAGTGCCTACCGCCCCTGTCCTACTGTCCCATTTATATGTACTCTATGTGTTTATGGCTGTTTTGCTTATTTATACCCATTTATTTGTGTCATTTTTTCATGTGTTTTCATGCTTGTTTCTTCCACTTGTTGACAAATAAATAAATAAATCTATCACATCTAAACAAAGTGGCACTGATTTTTATATTTATGACATGTACACTGACATGGAAATATATACACGTTGAATTTAATAATAATAATTTGTAGCTCTTCCTGTGTTCTTCATCCTATCAACAAATCCCATCAGTTACTGAGACAATCCTTTTGATAGGATGTCCATTGGGTCACAGTTCAAAGAGACTGAATGACTCACCCTCCTCCTCCTGCTGTTCCCATCGAAGTTTTTAAATCCTCCACTTGCACCACATACTCAAAATATATGAGTTTCTGTTTGCCAATCTTTGCCTCCAGGAAGCAATAAGTCTGTTTGATCCACAGTTAATCTGTTCTTCTGACACTCCAGTCTTGTGGATTTCAGATCCATAATTTGAAGACAGATTATCTTTCGTCACTCTTTTTCAAGTCACACATCTTTCCAAACCATACATTTCCACCAGAAAGAGGACTGCTGTAACACTGTAATAAGTATTCTTATTTTTCTCGATTCTGTTTGCCATTGTTTTCTTCCTTAGGATTAATCCATTTGTTCCCAAGCATATGGCCCATTTTAATTTATATGGGTTAAATTATATATGTTGTAGGTATTAATAGAATTTCTTTTTGATCGCAACTGAATGAAGGGATTTTAAAGATTGGTGGATAAGAGTGTGTGTGTGTGTACATATACAGAGAGAGAGAGAAAGTGAGAGAGAGAGAGAACAAAATAGATTTGTTTGATTACATTAAGCAAAATACAAATTAAAAAATAATTTACTATTTTTTATAGTTCTTAATAGAATGTTTAGAACAGAACAGAATGTTGCTGATTTAGAGTGAATGATTTTTTTTACAATTTGATTATTGATAAGAAAAGAGATGGGAGATTTTTTTTTCTTTTGAAATACCAGAGAAGGTATTATTACTAAAATTGTTTATGTTTCTCTAGAGAAAGACCATCCTTTCTTCTTCCTATTTCTCTGTACTCTCTTTTTTCCTTTTTCTGTTTTCCTTACTTTACATTAGTCTTTTAACTTTGCCCTTGTAAGCTTTAATAGAGTTACAATACAAAAAAGAAAAAGAAAGAAAGGGAATCTAAATATCATTAGGGAAACTCCAGGTGCAGACCTGTTCCAAAGGTGCTTTTCCAAAACTTTCTTGGTTTTTGTGCTTGAAAACATTTCACTTCTTATCCAAGAAGCTTCTTCAGTTCTAACTGAAGTTTTAATTAAGAATTGAAGAAGCTTCTTGGATGAGAAACAAAAGGTTTTCAAAGAAAAAAAAATAAGTGAAACATTTTTAAGGAAGTGAAAAGTTTTCAAGGAAAAAACCCAATAAACTCTAGTTGCCTTTTGAAAACCATGATCTGGATGGTTGAGAATCTCCATAGATACACCTGGAGGAAAAGATAAAGCCGGTTAGGCCTGCTGGACTGAGGACATTTTGGAACTGTTGCTCAAACTTGGCAACCACAAGATGTATTTATTTCAATTCCTACATTACTAAACATTGAAATCTACACATTGTAAAAGTTGCCAAGGTTGAGAAACACTATTCTAGAAATATTGTGACTCCACCTTTTTAGTTTCTCTAGATGTCCTGAGTGTTTTTCCCTCATTTCCCTCAAAATACAGTATTTCCAACATAAGGGAGCATGACCGAAATAATTTACTGGGAAGCAACAATGGAGTAAGATAATTACCTCCTCCTTTCTGTTTATTTGGTATATCTACTGGGCCATTGAATGGCACACAATAATAGATAAGATTTCCCTGTGGCCTTACCTTAAGATGGTTATCCATCCACCCAGGATATGGATATCTTCCTATTAGAATATTAATTTGTATTCCTGTGAACAAGCACAGTTAATTTGATCCTAATTAACTGAATGAATGTTGCTTTACTCTTTTAATTATGTATTGTCCTATATGTCTTTGTATGTTTCCCCTTCCTATATAAGTTGTAAGCCGCCCTGAGTCCCCTCAGGGAAAAGGGCGGCCTATAAATAAACTTAACCTAACCTAACCTAATGTGAGAGGCCTGGCTGAGGAAAAGAGGACAAACACCTTCCTGGAGACTGCAATCCAAATATTCCATCTCTTTTGTCCCTTGGTAATTCTTTCACCGTGTGATAAATCTTAGTTTTCTATTGAACACATAACACCTTTTCTTGTTTCCCAGATAAACTTTTTAGGCTACCGGATCTGCCTATTTCTTAATTCTTCCTTTTTTTCCTTGGAATGATTTTAATTGCTCCTGGTGGCTTCTCTAAATGATGTGTACATGCACCAGAAGGGCAGGATATTAATTTTTCCCTAGTAAGTATATTATTTAGCTGGGCATAGCAGAAATGCCTTGCCTGCAGTACCTATCCATGGAGTGGTAACATACTACACTGTTATATATCAGATCATTTTTTCAGCAAAGACTTTTCTTTCTCTGTCCTTTGGGGTAAATTATACCATAAATTGTCAATGAGGGCAATCGGTTTATAAACAATTATAGCAGTAGCAATAGGGCTTAGACTTATATACCGCTTCATAGTGCTTTTACAGCCTTCTCTAAGCAGCTTAGAAAGTCAGCATATTGCCCCCAACAGCTTAGGTCCTCATTTTACCCACCTCGGAAGGATGGAAGGCTGAGTCAACCTTGAGTCGGTGAGATTTGAACTGCTGAACTGCAGCTAGCAGTCAGCTGAAGTAGCCTGCAGTACTGCACTCTAATCACTGTGCCATCTCAGCTCTTCAATTATGTAGTTTTAAAGGCTGGTAGTACTGTGTGGTATGGTATCAGATGATTAACGATAGGCTAAAACTAGATGCTTATAATGAATAAAGCCAGCCTCATTCTATCATCTACAACTGTGTGCAAAGAAACTGGATGGATAGTATCTCCAGGCCAGGGAAAGGAGAAATTCCTCAACTATTCCTTGGGCAAGAAAATAATCACTTACGGCAGTGACAGTACCACTGTAGTAACAGAGCCCACTGAAAGAAAATCCCTTATTCTTCCTTTGGGACTTAACTAAAGTACAGATAGTCTTGATACATGACCACAATCAGTACTGGAACTTCCATCA